GTGGAGCAGAGCTTCTGGTGCAAAGTTTCTAACCAAAAACAATTTGTATTGTCAGTTTCTTGTTGGACTCTCTTTCAATCACAGACAATGAACAAAATTATAAAGTGACCCGTCATCATCAAATAACCCTTTTATTAAATTGGATAACAACGAGTTATGGACGTAGTATGAGAACCTGCCAAGGACTCTTTGAACCATACTCGTGTGGTGTAATTCAGCGACTCTCATTTCCTTCGGATGGTCCCCCATGTACACGATATACGTCTGCGTCTTCAGAATGAGGAATAAAAAAACATTTTAAGTATTTTATTCTTAAACTTCAATGAGTTGGGAAAGAAAACTGAGATAAAATAATCAGCCAACATTGGCAGAGAGATTATGGTTGGAGAGCTCGAGGAAGAGAGATTATTTCACCTTTGGATCATCGCAATGTGCATGAAGCAGAAGTAGTGCGCAAAAGAGAGACAAGAGGAGATGCCAGGAGCTTAGAGAAAACATGTTTAAATTGCTAAATGAAACGATAGAGCTTCAAGTGTATGTGTATTGTGGCCAAGTAGTCTTGCTGTGTTTCGGGGCAGGACCTGTCCGATGCTATTTATATAGGACAATAATCAATGCTTCGTCCCAGAGCTTGCATTAGATGAGACGTACGTTTGTTGTACAGGATTGAAATTTTCTTTTAACGACAAGGTCAACGCGTTCCTAGATTCTGTCGAATTCCGAAAAATGTACATATAAGACGCGTACGCTGTATCATTAATACATAATAGAGAGATGTGTATCCTTTGGCCACCAAAGATTAACATTTAATAGAGGTTTATTTTCCTTGTAAGCATGATCATTTTGAAGTTTTCTCACATGTATGTTCGGCATGTATATATTTTCCAAATTCCCGTCCCAGGAAATCATAAAGAATTAACGAACTCAGTATACTCCTCCGGTCCTTAATATAAGACCCAATTGTTGAGTTAGTTTTGGTCTTAAATGTAAGACTCATTTCTCATATTTATCAATTTTCTCTAAATTACCCCTATAGAGACTCCCTCAACCATAATCAAGTAGTAGAAGAAGATTAGGTATTAAGAAAGATGATTATGATATTTTAGGAAAAACATGTGACATTTCTTATAATTAACTAACTTAACTAACATCATTAATATAATCAAATTAGTTAAATGGGTCTTATATTAAGGACCAGAGGAGTATATTAATTTGGAGTTGGTGGGTTCTAATTTTTTGTTTCATATGAATAATTCTTGGATACAGAAGGTCAAGCAGCCACAACCCACAAAGGCCAATAAAGCAGCCACAAGGCCAGGTCAGCTTCGTGGTGGCCTAAGTATTACAAACTAGATTGGCCAGCCCGTCTTATATCTTGTATGTTTCATTAATTCATGAGATTGTAAACAAATAATTAATTTTGACAGTATTGTTGAATGCTGTAACATGTTTCTGCTTTTTTAAAGAAGTTTGCTCAAATTATTCAATTTTAATCCATTTTAACATATTTTTTTTGGCTCCCCAAACTGATGAGCCGTCCTTGTTCCCGAACGTTGTTTAGTTTATATATGGAGGCGGAAGGATTTGAGAAATAATCCTCTTGCGCTTGAACTCAATTTTTATTTTCAAACGGTGATGTGATTTGAACAAATCAGAGTTAAGGTCATGAGTTCTGCATTTCATGTTGCCAAATAAGGGTTGGTGGGGCATGGATGTGTGGGTCCTCTCCTTTGTATTAAAAAAAAAAATGGTTTAAAGTCTCCAAAAGGTTCAGCTTCCAAACTAATTTTTGAGGGCCTGAATGTCATGCCAAACGAATTAAACACACTGAGTAATACTCTGTTTTTCTCTTTATAACGATGTTTAAAATCATTCTCACCTTCAAATGACTTGCACCTCTTTCTCGGGCCATTTCTTTCCAACCCAAAACCTCGGATCATCACCGCTTTCATTTTGGGCTTTGTCCCATCATAAGTTATAAGTAATTGCGACAAAGGCGACAGTATTATTTGTTTGATTTCTGCTTCTTCTTATTTTTTTTTGGGTGATACAAGATAGAAAGAAAATAAACTGAAATACTAGGCTAAAATTCTCAGAGGCATGGCAGTCCCTTCCAAGCCCTCCTTGTATATCTGCATAATGCTTCTCGGTGGTGTGTTCCAAATTGTTTCTTGCTGTTCTTGTTGCCAAGCCAGCTTCGCCAAGTGATCAGCGCACCTGCTCGCTTCTCTAGAAACATGTCTGAAGCTTAACTCCCGGTCTCGATTGAGCAGTTCATGAAATTGATTAACCAGTTGTTGGCATTCATCAATCTTTCCCCTCCTTGTATTTGCCTAATTGCTTCAAATGCATCACTTTCCACTTCAAATTTCCTAAAACCCGTCCTGCAGCATAGTTCCAGCCCTCTTGCAATCCCTTGAAATTCGGCAGAAAGAATATCACATTCCTCCAATTGCATAGTAAATCCTCTTAACCACGGTCCTTTATTCCCGCTTGTTGCACAGCTGCAGTCTCTCAGTGCAGGTAAAGGATCTTCCACTTTCAGGTTGCAAATTCCACATATAGTCCCATGCTACCATCCCATTTACAGGTCACGTGTTTGGTAGGAATCTTCTTGTGTGCTGTTATCCACATAAAGACACGAATTCGTTCTGATATTTTAAGTTTCCAGATCCTCCTCCAAATTTTTTCATGATGATCTTCTTGCTCTCCTCTCGGCCCTTTGCAAGTGCTGGCTGTGATGAATGCCCCACTTTTGTTTAGCCTCCATTTAATCTTGTCAGGTCCTCTAGAGTCAATTGGAATTCTCATAGGATTTATTTTCTGTATAAGATCTCCCGAGACTACGGCATGTTTGGATCATCACAGCATCAACCTCAAGTCACGAATATTGTAGGAATATTAATAATAGGAGATGTTTAATTATACGTATAGGACTTGATTGTTAAGTTAATTTTCATTCTAAATATAAGACTTATTTCTCATATTTATTAATTTTTTTTAAATTATCCCAATTGATACTTCCTCAACTATAATCAAATAGGAAAGGAAAAAAAGATATTAAGAAAAATGATTATGGTGTTTTGGAAAAAACATATTATATTTTTAATAATTAACTAGTTTACTTAACTTTTTAAATATAATCAAATTATAAATAAGTCTTATATCAAGGATTGAATGAGTACTTTAACATTGAACACAATATACTAATGAAAAAAAATTTATGTCAAGTTCCTTATATCTATTATGTCAAATCCTCAAATCATACATGGCCATATGTCTTTTTTTGTTTAATGTGAATTTATAATTAAATACTATTTAAAGTTAATATTTCAAAAATAGGAAATATGTTTTAATCAATTATTGGAATAATCATCAGCTACTGTGCGTGTTTGACAATCTTTAACAACAGCAGCTAAAATTATACTCATATTTTCATTGTAAATAAATCAAAAAATTATGCAACTGCACCATGCTAATTTAGGAGATCAGCTAGCATTCTCACCATTAAGAAGTTAATTAAACTTTTTTACATAATTGAAATTTCATTATTCTGCATAATTTTCTGTTTATAATTATAATAAAACCAACAAAATGGTTTCCTATTCATAATTACATTACATTAAACTTCGAATATTACACGTATAATCAAATTAATCATTCTCATTTTTAAAATTATTTCCACACCCATGCATGCACCACTGGTCATCAGTTATACCATATGAAAGAAATTGTATATAGAAACTACAGTCTTAATAAGATCAAGTCACTTGTAACACATTTTATATCATCAAAAAATACATTAAATTGATAAAAAAATTTAAATTTTTTTATTAGAAAATTTTTCTCTCTCTCAATATTTACAAATCATTCTCACATATCTCTCTTTTCTTTCTTTCTAATGAGAATTAAATAAGATAAAATTAAAAAATAATCATTAAATACCTTACAAGTTAACTATATTTAGGACAAAATTTTTTTTCCTGCGAGTGATTTGTAATAAAACTGAAGTGTAGGACTTCATAATTATGTAGTTGTCATTGTTGCCCGTTCTAATGATCAATCATTACTCTCTCCGTTTATTTTCATAAACAGCCTTAGACTAAAAACGTAGATAAAAAATTAGTTAAAATTGGTTAAACAAAGGTATAAAAATTGGAAATTTTTTCCTTCCAAAATGCTCTTATTTATTGGGAAGAGAGTATAAAAAAGAGAATTAAAAAAATTATTATAACAAAGATAATTATGAAAGACAGAATATGTGATGGAGAAAAATTATATTAAAATATAATTTTCAAAACATTTATTGCTTAGCAAATGATGTTTTGGAAAACAAAAACTAAATATATTAAAAATTAAAATAATTTTTTAATATGGGTAAAATAAAAAATTTGCTACAAAAATTTAAGACAATTTGTAAATATTACTTCTATTTAGGAAAAAGAAAAAATGATAGTTGTTGCTTGTGAAAATGGGACGGATGGAGTATATGATTATATTCCCATTGCATTATTGAATATCATTACTGTTGCATTTTTTTTACGAAGAGGATTATCATGAGTTCTAAAAAACAATATATATATATATATATATATATATATATAATCACCAAAAAATTCTAACTCAGTCTCTTTTTCCTTGCATTCTCCATAGCATCTTCAACTAGCTTGTAACTTGTGAAGCAGAGCGTCGTGGGACTAAATGTTTATGATAAATTGGCCACCCTTTCTTGGTAGAAAATCAAGCATCCTTAGATCAATGCACATAAGGAAACGGAAACGTAGATTGCTTCACCTTCTAATCAGCCAACAAAGCTATATATCAAACATTTCAACATCTTTTTATTTTACGGAGTAGGAGGATAAACAAACACAAATTTAAGCAAATATACATGAAACACGCTTATTCAATGGACTTTATTCACAATACTACAAGAAAAATGAAAGAACGAATTAATCTTTTGTCACCAGTATGAGACTGACAGTTCTTGTCCATGGCCCTCACTGAGTACTGTAAACCACAATGGGGCTCCTCACTTGGAAATTGTCATCATCCCAAATCAAAGAAGCAGAGACTATTCCCACGTTTACTGTGAACGACTTCTTCTCACCCACAGACGAGAACGACAAAACATTTGGGGTCACTTGAATAGTCAGCAAAGATGGCGGAACAATCACTTTCGCCTTATATACAGATGTAGCTGCTCCAACATTTGTCACAGTTCTATGAAACACACTGGTAAAAGGTTCTGAGATGTTTCTCTCAAGAGCGAAAGATGGGAGATTGAGGTCCCAAACCGTTTCGTTCTCAGATTTCTTACAGTTGACGTCTTCATCTGTAATGCTTCTTAGGCTTGTCCTGTTATAACCCTGTCCACACAGGAACCTCACATAATCTGATTCACCAATATCGTAGACCAAACCAGGGGTCACTGCCTTAATGGGATTAATTTGTCCAGCTCCATATGCAAATTCAGCTTCTGGGTTGAGAGCAGAACTCATCAGAGTGGCTGCAAGATATACATGGAAAGAACGGCAGTGATAATAAGAGAAACCGGAGCATTATGTAAGAAAGCTTCTCAAATAATTAAGTGATTAAGTAGTTACTAGTGGTCATTAAGGCAGATTTGATTGCTGCTGGAGACCATGTAGGATGAAATGACTTGACGTAGGCGGCTGCTGCAGTAGCGTGAGGGCAAGCCATGGAAGTTCCTGATATTATATTGAAGTTTGATAATCTCTTATCTCCTTTCACTTTTGAAACAGGGGAAATGCCAGACCATGCGGCTATGATATCTACTCCTGGTGCTGCTATATCAGGCTGCAGAGACATTAACAACAAGATCATTTCAATAACTATTTATCCATGAAAAGGGCTAGCAGACAAAAAAATCATGATGACCAGTAGCAGTGGCTCTAGCTACCTTGAGAATGTTGGGAGTAATTACGTTTGGACCCCTTGAAGAAAAGGAAGCTACGTAAGGGGACAGAGAATCTTTGCCTTCCTTGCTCTTGAAAATAGCAACAGTTGGATTTCTGCAGAAATTGGTGGATCATAGAACAAGAAAGAATAATTAATCAACAATTCATGACGAGGGGATCAAATATAGATGAACATGATGTCTGATTATACATACCTGGTAGAATCCAGGTAAGAGCGAATGGTTGTGCCATCATTTAGAGTAAGCAAAGCGAGTGGAAAAGGAAAACGATAAAGAGATGGCGCATCTTTTGAGGAAATGGTTGGAAGCACAACGCCAACCGCTCCTGACAGTCCTGCAGCATCACTGATGGAAAGTCCATCACACAAAACAATTTTTCCCTTCACCATCGCTTCGTCCAACGAGTCCTCGGAGCATAGCCTATCCAACGTTTCTTTCATTTCTTAAAAACATATTTTATGACAAATAACAGTCATAGAAATAGTAACAGGACTAAAAGCAACAAGAATAATAGTACCTCGAAGTAGAACTGTTAAATCCACCAGTGATATTTGGCGCATCTCCAGAGTAAATCAAGGAGTAAGTTCCATTTTGGGGATCAAAGGTGTTCAACGAAATTCCCTGCAGATAAAGTGGAGTATCTATGTTATAACCATTCTCATTGATTTCTTATAGGTAGTTATGAAAAGTGACAATGAAGAAAATGAGTAGTACGTGAAGAACTATGCCATTTCCCAACTGAACCTTGGTGGTAAACTTTCTATCAGTAGTGGAAGCAGCCACTGAAAGCGACCAGGGCGCAAAACTTGTCATGGTGGAAAGCTTTGGACCCAAGTTGCCGGCAGCAATTGAGGTTAAAATGCCCTTCTTCATTGCATGGAAAGATCCAATTGCGTACACATCCTCAAACAAGTCACGGTGTATCAGCGTACGAGAGCCAAGGGATACAGAAAGTATGTCGACGCCATCAGAGATTGCTTCGTCAAATGCTGCCAGAATGTCAGCTGTATTACAACCTTTTGACCAACAAGGTTTGTACACAGCAATACGAGCTGATGGGACTCCCCCTCTTGCAGTGCCCGAGCCTAACCCATATAGATTCGCTGAGCTAATCAAGTTTCCTGCAGCTGTGGATGCACAATGAGTGCCGTGGCCATCTGAATCCCTTGGAGATCTAATATCATCTTCTTCAAATGTACCATCCACCCGAAAATATTTTGCTCCAATTATCTTGCTGCATATATACACACACATATCGAGTGATATGACTTGCACACCTCAAGTTAATCGTTTGTGTGTGTGTTGTTGACTTAGTAAAAGTTTGTTGGTGTATACTTATTGCAAGTGATGTTTTGGCAAGAGCCTTTCCACTTTCTTGGAGGTGAACTAAATCCTTGGTCGTTGAAGCTTTCAGACTCGGGCCAAATTCCATAGTCGATTACTCCGACGATGATGTCGCTCTCCACACTTGTTCTGTTCACTTGCTGTGGAAACCCTATGAAGTCCCACGACCTTGTTGTTTGGAGCTTGTGAGTTTTGCTTTGGAACACAGAGATCACCCCATCCATTCCTAATGAACATGGTATTATATGTTTAGTAAATACTTCCTTGTAATCGGGTTTTATAGATGAAGAAAAAAAATTAAGCACGTCTCAATACTGTACCGGCCATTCTTTCAGCTTGCTTTTGTGTTAGCCTCACCGCAAATGCGCTGAAACTCTTCTTGTAGCTGTGGAGCAGTGATTCTGGTGCGAAGTTTCTAACCAAAAGCATTCTGGATGGTCAGTTTCCTGTTGGACTCTCTTAAAATGATCATCATCAAATAACCACTTTATTAAATAGGATAACAAAGAGCTATAGACGTAGTATAAGAACCTGCCAAGGACTCTTTGAACCATACTCATGTGATGTAATTCAGCGACTTTCATTTCCTTCGGATGATCCCCCATGTACACGATATACGTCTTTGTCTTCAGAATGTGAGAGAAAACGTTTTAAGCATGTTACTCTTGAACTTCAATAAATTACAAATAAATATTGAGATAAAATAATCAACCGGCATATGTAGACAGATATGGTGGATTATTTTACCTTTGGATCATGGCAATGTGCCTGAAGAATAAGAAGAGTGCAGAAGAGAGAGAAGAGGTGATGCCAGGAGCTTAGAGAAAACATGCTTAAATTGCTTAATGAAACGATGGAGCTTCAAGTGTTTCTGTGTATGCTGTGGCCAAGAAGTTAACTTAATTTGCTGTGTTTCAAGGCAGGACCAGTGGAATGCTGTTTATATAGGACGATAATCTGTTCTTCGTCCGAGATTGCTTTACACATGACGAACGCTTGTGGTAGAAATTCGAAAATATGCTTTTAACGACAAGGTCAACATGTTCCTAGACCCTGTCGAATTTGGAAAAAGAGAACATGAGACGCGTACGTTGTACCATTAATACTTGCTAGCGTTGGATATATATATATATATATATATATATATATATATCCAATTTGGCCAACAAAAATTAGTACTGAATAGAGGCTGACTTTGACTTTCCTTGAAAGTATAATGATTTTGAAGTTTTCTCACATGTATGCTTTCCAAATTCGCGTCGCAGGAAATCATGAAGAATGAACGAATTCAGTTTATTTTAAGTCGGAGTGGGCAAGGTTCTAAATTTTTTGTTTCATGAAATGATTCTTGATTGCAAATATATCAAAGGTCAAGCAGCCATGAGGCCAGGTCAGCTTTGCGGGGCATAATAAGTACAATCTAGATTGACCAACTCTCTTCTCCTCACTTCCTTTCCACTTAATATTTTTATCATTAGATCAAAATTCAATGACTAAGATTTATTTTATAAAGATATTATTAAAATATTAAATATTAAATAATAAAAAATATATAAATAAATTTATAGTGTTAAGTGTTAAAATTTGATTTAAGTAGTTTAATATGATAAATTTTTATTATATTTAATATTATATGAAGAGAGAAGTTAGTGGAGATATTTTTTTTCACGTCTGTCTTTTATGTTTCGTTAATTCATGAGCTGGTAAAAACTAAGGGGGATTCTGATCTTAGTTTTATTTTTTTTAATAAATAAGATAAATAAATAATTTTGACTATATTGTTATGTTAGAAAACAAGTTGGGCTTAAATTATTCAATTGTAATCCATTTACCATGTCCGTTCCCCACCCAAAAAAAAAAAAAAAAAGAGCCGACCTTGTTCCTTTTTTTGACCAGCGAGCCGACCTTGTTCCTGAATCTTGTTTAGTTTTTCTCAATATATGTCAACTGGGTGAAAAACTAAATATGGTAAACTTAAAAAATCAACTCAGGACTTTAATTAAGATTACATAGATAACACAAATTTAAAAGCAAATTGACATGATTTTATAAGTTAGAAATATAAAAACAGTAAACTCAAAAAAATCAACTCATGAGTTTTACAGTAATGCACGAAAACCCAACATTGTAAAAACTTTTATACCAAAAACTAAAATGGTGACAACATTCTTGCTGGGTTTTGTGTGCGTGTGTGGGAGATGAAATGTGGCATCCAGTTCACTTATCTGGAGCCAAACATGTTAAGTTAATGGTCAGACACAAGTAGAGTTCTAACCTTGAGGCCTATGTACCCCCTTTTTCTCTGAATAACAATCTTCAAATGACTTGGGCCTGTTTCTTCGCCCATTTCTTCCACACCCAAGCGTAGATGACTACTTCATTTTGGGCTATCATAAGTCATTGGGGCAAAGGCCCACCATCAATTTTTAAATTTATATTTTCATATTATATCCTTTTTTGTGACAATTGTATTATATCCCCTTAAATAATTATAGTTTTTAAGATCCTTTACACTAAATATAATTCTCCTTATGTTCCTTACTCTGATTTTTCCAATTTAAATAATGTAAATATATTTTTTAATCAATTATTTGAATAATCATTGGCTACTGTGCGTGTTTAACAATCTTTAACACTAAAATTATACTTATATTTTAATTGCAAAAAATTCAAAAAATTATGTGACTGCACCATGTTAATTTAGGAGATCAGCCATACTTATTCGCATTCTCATAATTAAGATATTAACTAAATTTTATAATTAAAATTTGTAATTGGAATTTCATTATCGTGCATGGCATAATTTTCTGTTTATAATTATAATAACACTTCTCGCAAAATGGTTTTCCATTCATAATCACATTACATTAAATTGCCCTTTTCATTCAATATTACACCTAGAAATATTAATATATAACCATATTGATCATTGTCCTTTTTCAGTAGTTATCAATTATACCAAAATAAATGTGTGTGCGCGCGGGCGCAGGATAAAACGATGGATCAAGTTACAAATTCGATCATATTAATTCAAAATAAAATTAACTGATTATCCAAAAGGACACATTTGAAATAATTGGCAGGAACCACGAAATGAAGATCCAATTTGCTTGGTCACATCAACATTGGTGTGTACTAGTTGTTAATAGCGATTACTGATTACCTAAGTGGCGCGCGCGCGCACATACGCAGATATATTATACACTATTTGTATATATTATATTCCCACTACTTAAAAATACTTGTTATTAATTACAGATTATACCATATATGGAAACTGCCAATCAAGTTAATTATTCAATCATTTTGATCTACAATACAATTAATTGATTTTTCAAAGGAGATTCAATGCGGACTTTGCTAAGTCAAATTTGAGACAATGGCTTGTATCACCAAATGATGATTTAAATATTTAATTGACTTTACTAAAATCGTTTACCTCTCAGTGCTTACATCAACGGAATGAGCCTTTATATATAAATATATATATTGTGAAAATCAGAAAAAGTTACTTATTGAAACTTTTTATAAATGAAATGAATTAAATTCAGAAGTACTCCATATGTATAAAATTTATATAATATCAATACTTTTTAGGTGTATAAATTCATCATGTTTTTCTCATTAATAAAATTTTCAAGGGATTTTTTCTCCCAATATTTCCTGTTCCCACTGCATATTAAAATACATTAAAATATTATATTTAGAATCCAAACAAGCCTTTTATCTAGGTTTAGCACCAGGGGTAGTGTGTATTTTCCGCCATTTACTTTATGCAATAGGTGCCTTAAATCCCAATTCCGCATGCTACAACAAAAGTGCCTCCGAAATTATTGTGCAAACGTGGTTATAAAAATTGACCCCGACTTTTGTCAAGAAAAATCCCTCTAATCATTATTTGGACTTTCTATAATTAAATGTTAATCTTTATATTTCATGCGGCACATAAGATTCCACAAATCTTTTTTTATCTTATAGATATTTATTTGTAGTGTAAAAATATGAAAACTCACACAAATACTAAGTACTATCTTTGAAGTAAAATTTAGTTTCTAGCAGTATTATAAACTTGCTATATATTCATATCTCAACTTCTCCACTTCTCAGTATAAAATCCGTTTTACATTGAGTGAAAATAGTACTACTTCCGGTCTTAATTATAAGAGCTAGTTAACTAATTTGAAAAATTAAGAAGAAAAAAAAGTTAAGTTAGTTTTTTGTGATAAATATGTGTTGTCTTTCCCAAAATATCTTTGCTAATTAAGTATATTGGCTATAACTACTATTATTAGAAGGATTATCTTGGAAAAAATGCATAAATATGAGAGACAAAATGGATTGGGATAAAATAAAAGTCAAATAAGGTTTTATATTAAAGACCGAAGATAGTATTAAAATATTAGCAAATATGTTACCAACAAAGAGTTGGTATAACAGTATAAGGCTCTACTAAAGTCTTTCGGATCTCAAGTTCGATTTTTAAAGGAGACACCTTTGTAGGAAAGGAAAGCTATGAATCCAAACCAGATTAAGTAATTCTGCTTGATTAAACACTTCTATCTAATTAAAACCACCATATAATCAATATAAAATACTCTAATTTAAATAACCTTGTTGAAGAGAATAAATTGTCACAGCTAATATAACAGGGCTAAATATAAAATTATGCTACATGATAAATTAATAACCATCCTTTTTCATTGCACTGAAGGAAGCATCCAAGGGGCCTCTAGTCATCCAGCAACAATTAAACATATTTTTACTTTAGACATACAGGAGAATAAAAAATGACATATTTAAGCAAATAGTAGTATATATTGAGCGTGTTTATTCGCTCGACTTTATGCAGCACGTTCATATATAGGAAATTCAAGAAAGAATTATATTTTGCCAATCCATGTGTGGCACTCACTCAATACTATAAACCACCATGGGGCTTCTCACTTGGAAATTGCCATCATCCCAAATCAAAGATGCGGAGATCATTCCCACATTTATAGTTCCTTCAACTGTAACTGTAAATGACTTCTTCTCACCCTCAGATGAAAAAGACAAAACATCTGGTGCCACTTTGATGGTTAACGTTAGCAAAGATGGAGGAACAATCACTTCGGCCTGATATATAGATGTAGCTGCTCCAACGTTAGTCACAGTTCTATGAAACACACTGACAAAAGGTTCTGAGATGTTTCTCTTAAGAGCAAAAGATGGGAGATTGAGGTCCCACACTGTTTCAACCTTAGTTTCCTCACAGTCGATGACATCCTGTGTAATGATTCGTAGGTTTGTCGCATTATAACCTTGCCCACACAAAAACCTCACGCAATCAGATTCACTGATATCATATACCAAGCCAGGGGTCACAGCCTTGATGGGATTAATTTGTCCAGCTCCATATGCAAATTCAGCTTCAGGGTTGAGAGCGGAACTCATTGGAGTGGCTACAATATTTGGATGGATGTTCATGGAAAAAGAAGCAAGTAAACACAAGAAAAACCAGAACTTCTATGAAAACTTTACAAAGTTGACATAGGTGGATTAATTAATTAATTAAGTAATTACCAGTAGTCATTAAGGCAGACTTGATTGCTGCTGGAGACCAAGTGGGATGAAATGACTTGACATATATGGCTGCTGCAGTAGCATGAGGGCAAGCCATGGAAGTTCCTGATATTATATTGAAGTTTGACTCCCTCTTGTCTCCTTTCACACCTGAAATAGGCGAAATGGGAGACCAAGCGGCTATGATATCTACTCCTGGGGCAGCTATATCAGGCTATAACAACACAAACAGTAGAATAATCATTTCAATAACTGATTGAACCTAAAAAAGGTTAGCAGCAAAATTTACAACTAGCTAGCTGTGACGACCCTACCTTGAGAATGTTGGGAATAATTGTGTTTGGACCCCTTGAAGAAAAGGAAGCTATGTAAGGGGAGAAAGGATCTTTGCCTTCATTACTCTTATATATAGTAGCAGTTGGATTGCTGCAGAAATTGGTAGATCATTGAACAAAGAAGATTTATTGATCAATAGGAGCAAAGGAACCAAATATAATATGATCTCTCTGATGACCTATACCTTGAAGAAGACAAGTAAGAGAGAATGGGCAAGCCATCATTTAGATTAAGCATAGCGAGAGCAAGAGGAAAAGCAAAGCGAGATGCTGAATCTGTTGGGTAATTGGCCAGAACCACAACCCCAACCGCCCCAGACACTAGTCCTGTAGCATCATCTGGAAGCCTATCACACAAAACGATTTTCCCCTTCACCATCGCTTCATCCAACGAGTTTTCAATGCAAAACCTATCCAGCAATTAATTATTAGGATATAATTCTAATTCTTCATTTCTTTCAATATATTAGATCACATTCTATGATATAAAAATAGTAACAATAGTAACAACAACAATAATACCTTGATATCGAACTGTTAAATCCACCAGTGATATTGGGTGCATCTCCAGAGTAAATCAAGGGGTAAGTTTTATTTTGGAGATCAAAGGTGTTCGTCGAAATTCCCTGCATGTAAAGTGGGTTATCTAAGATATAATCATTCTCACTGATTTCTCAAAGTAATTATAAAAATCATTAACCAAGAAAATGAGTGTTACCTCAAAAACCATGTCATTTCCCAATTGAACCTTGGTGAAGAACTTTCTATCTATCGTGGATGCAGCCACAGAAAGCATCCAGGGAGCAGCTTTAGTGGTGGTCGAAAGGTTTGGACCCAAGTTGTTGCCAGAAGTTGAGGTTAGAATTCCATTCTTCATTGCATGGAAAGATCCAATTGCGTACACGTCCCCAAACAAGTCACGATGTGTCACAGATTGATAGCCAAGTGATACAGAAAGTATGTCGACGCCATCAGCGATTGCTTCGTCAAATGCTGCCAGAATGTCAGCTGTATTACAACCTGATGACCAACAGGGTTTGTACACAGCAATGCGAGCTGATGGTACTCCCCCTCTCGCGGTGCCCGAGCCCAGCCCATATAGACTTGCTGAGCTAACCAGGTTTCCTGCAGCTGTGGAGGCACAGTGAGTGCCATGGCCATCCAAATCCCTTGGAGATTTAATATCATCTTCGCCAACTGTAACATCCACCCGAAAGTATTTTGCTCCAATTATCTTGCTGCATATAGAGAGAGAGAGAGAGAGAGTGATATATGACATGCACGCTTCAATTTAATCCTTTATATATATATTGTTGACTTAGCAAAAGTACATTGATGTATACTTATTGCAAGTGATGTTTTGGCAAGAGCCTTTCCATTTTCTTGGTGGTGAACTAAATCCTCGGTCGTTGAAGCTATCTGACTCGGGCCAAATTCCGGTATCGATTACTCCGACAATGATGTCACTCTCCACACTTGTTCTGTTCACTTGCTGTGGAAAACCTATGAAGTCCCATGACCGCGTTGTTTGGAGCTTGTGCTTTTCGCTTAGGAAAACAGAGATCACCCCATCCATTTCTGGTGAACATGGTATTATGTTTAGTACATACTCTCTTGTACCTGCTTGACGAGGTTATAAATGAAGAGAATAGAAACATCTAAACCATATATACCGGCCATCCTTTCAGCTTGCTCTGGTGTTAACCTCACCGCAAATCCATTGAAACTCTTCTTGTAGCTGTGCAGCAGAGTTTCTGGTGCAAAGTTTCTGAACCAAAAGCAACTTGGATGGTTAATTTCTCGTGAGACTTTCTTTCAATCAGAGAGACAGAATTGAACTTATAAAGTGATCATCAAATAACCCTTTTTGCTAATAGGTCCAGGAATAAAGCTACAATTCAGTTAGATACAATGAGTTAAAGACGCAGTTTAAGAACCTGCCAAGGACTTTTTGAACCATACTCGTGTGATGTAATTCTGCGACGTCTTTCATTTCCTTCGCATGATCCCCCATGTACACGATGTATGTCCGTATCTTCAGAATGTGAGAGAAAACATTTTAAGCATTTTACTCTTAAACTTCAGTGAATTAGAAAAGAAAATTGAGGTAAAATAATCAACAAACACAGACAGACAGACAGACAGACAGACAGATACGGCGAGAGAAAGAGGGAGAGATTATTGTACATTTGGATCATCGCAATGCGTCTGAATAATAAGGAGACCGCAAAAGAGAGAAAGGAGGAGATGGCAGGTGCTTAGAGAAAACATGTTTAAATTTAGTTATGGAAATGATAGAGCTTCAAGTTTTGCTATGTATCTCTGGAGACTCAAGAAGTTTTGTTATATATATGTCTCAGGGCGAGACGTACGTTTGGTGTAGACAATTGCGTTTCATGGTATGGTTTCTGAGGTGTAAGAATCGCAACTTGTTAGTGATAGTGTCATTAAATTCTCGATAATGAATTTGATTAGATATCAATTTATTTTAATTACGTGGGACAAGTACGTGACACAGACATCATCATTGATATTTCACAAGATGGATTTCTTCCCTTGTGAACATAAGAATTTTGAAGTCTTCTCTCATATATGTTTGGCTTGGATCATCCAAATTCGAGTTGCAGAAAAGTCGTAAGAATGACTAATTCAGTGCCGTGAGACATATCCATTATCATTAATTATCGAGGACAGTGGAGTAGTGTTTCAACTTTCAAGGAAGGTTCGGCTGTTGTTTTCTGTTTCATGAATGACTCCGAAAGATATAAATCAAAGGTCAAGCAGCAGCAATAATGCCGGCGATGTCATACCCAATTGACCAATTCGTGTTTTTGACTAGTATACTACCTCTGATCTTAATTATAAGAGCCAGTTGACTAATTTGAGAAAATTAAAGAAGTAAGTTGAGCAAGTTATTTATCCTAAATAGGTGTTGTCTTTCCTAAAATATCGTTACTAATCAAGTATATTAATTAGAACTATTATTGTTAGAAGGGCTACTTTGGAAAAAATATATATATATGAGAGACAAAGTAGATTGGGATCTTATATTTAGAATCAAATTAAAAGTCAAACAGGGTTTTATATTAAGGACCGGAGGTAGTATATGTTTCACTAATTCATTAGATGGTGTTTTTACTTGATAAATACATAGGAATAAAAATTTTTATTTTACTTTTATTTTTTATAAATAAGATAAAGAAATTATTTTTGCAACATTATATTGTTGAATATTTTAGCATATTTTTATTAAAAATGGTTTGACTTAATCATCCCTTTTTTAAACACTATAATTATCCTCCATTAACAATTAAACTAATATCCCTATAGTATAGTATATAGAGAATAAAACATATACAATTCCCAACTAGGATTAATACCATATACACAAGCGGACTTGTCCTTCTTGTTCATGAATCTTGTCTATTTACGAAAGTTGGAGCTGAAGGATTCGACTATCGTTTGAGATTTTACTGTGAATCGGTGTTGTGATTTTGAATAAATCCGAGTTAATTGCATTAACTCAATGCTTTTTTTCCCCTTGATAAAGGGCAACAAAAAAGGCTGAAACACAAATTTATGTTTGAAATTTGTTGAAGCCACTAAGTGAAAGGTGACGTAATGTTATTCCATAAATTTAAGGGAAAATCACTATCATCAAATCCTTAAAAAAAAAAAAAGAATATAATTATAAAAAATCTCAATTCATCATTCACTACTTACAAAACTTTTTTACTGATTACATTCATTTTTTGGGACCACCCAGTAATTTTTTCTGAATCTAAAAGATGGAATAAATGTTGTCATAACTTCTGTTATTTTGACAATTCGTGAACAAGAAAATTAGAGTGTTCACCTGAAAAATTTTACTCATCAAGGGCAATGTTTTTGAAAACAGAGCCAGACCAAATGATTTGATCGGTTGAGCCGTTGTCAAACTCACTAATAACTGTTTATATGGAGGAATCAAAACGCGTACTGAGATAAAGTCATGTAAAAGGGTTTGCACATGGATGGGGAAAAGTCTATGCGAGAAAGGAAGACATAACCAAATTAAAGCTATTGGAAGTTAGAAGTACACAGCAATATATTCCTCCAATCTTTTTTATAAGTCACGTGTTCGAATTACAAAAAAAATCTTAAACTTCATTAATTTTTATTTAAAATTTAACAACATTTTATTTTTATCCCTATTTAATATATATTAAACCGTATGTAAACAAAGTTAATATAGTAATAAATGATGGGTAAAATTATACATCCGTACAAAATTTTTTTCTCAACATCTTATAAATAGGACCAAAAAATTATCTTGTCTCTCTACCCTATAAATAGGACCAGAGAAACACGTGCAAGTTTGATGCTAACGTGGAAGAAGATAATAGTAAAAAAATACATTGGGGGACATAGTATAAGCCCAATAATTAAAGGTCCAGCAGATCAAAGCATATTAAAAGGAATAACAAAAACTTAGCTACATATGTCGTGATGTAGTAGTATTCTGTATTTGTGACACGTGCATTCTTCACCTAGTACAATTGATGCTTGATGATCAATGTATGGCCATCACTAAGTACTAAACACCACAACAGGGCTTCTCACTTGGAAATTACCATCGTCCCATATCAAAGAAGCTGAGACTATTCCCACACTTATTCTTCCTTCAATTGTAATCGTGAATGACTTCTTCTCACCCACTGATGAGAACGACAAAAGTCCTACGAAACAAATTGCCAAAAGATACTGAAATGTTTCTCTTTAGAGTGAATGATGGAAGATTGAGGTCCCACACTGTTTCATTCTTAGTTTTCTTGCAATTGATGTGACCATCCATAATGTATCGCAGAAATTTTGTTTTGTAACCTTGTCCACACAAGAATCACACATAATCTGATTCACTGGTGTCATATACTAAACCAGGACTCACTGCCTTAATGGGATTAATCTGCCCAGCACCACATGCGAATTCAGCTTCTGGGTTGAGCATAGAACTCATAGGAGTGGCTGCAATATAATATCTTGGGGGGGGGGGGAGCAGCTTGGCAAAGATCCTGAAACCAATTAATATTGATGGATGAATTAATTACCAGTGGTCATTAAGGCAGACTTAATTGCCCCTGGGGACCATGGGGAATGAAATGATTTGACATAAGCTGCTGCTGCAGCAACATGAGGACGAGCCATGGAAATCCCAGATCTTATATTGAAATTTGATACTCTCTTGTCGCCCTTCACGTTTGAAACTGGAGAAATGGGAGGCCATGTGGCTATGATTTCTGCTCCAGGAGCAGCTATATCGGGCTATAACAACATAAAGATCAAAATAATTCTAAATTATTGAAGAGAACCAGAACAAGTATTTATATCCAATTTTGATGACTCCACCTTGAGAATGTCAAGAATAATTGGATTTGGGCCCCTTGATGAAAAGGAAACTATGTAAGGGGACAAAGAATCTCTGCCTTCATTACTCTTAAATATAGTAGCTATTGGATTACTCCAGAAAGTGGTTACTCCAATCATATATATAAAGGGGGAAAAAAGTCTCAGAACTAACAATAACCAGATTTCATATGAATATATGTTCTTCTTTGGTGTTTAATGAATCTGTATCTTGTTGAATTTAAGTAGGAGCTTATGGTTGTGCCATCTTTTAGAGTAAGCAAGGTAAGGGGAAGAGCAAACACAGATGCCACATCTTTTGATGAAATGAATAGAAGAACAACACCGATCGTCCCTGACACTAGTCCTGCTCTCTCTTTTGAGAACCTATCACATACAATGATCTTTCCCTTCACCTTTGCTTCATCCAAAGAGTTCATCAGGCATGATTCGTAACATCTTAATTTTTATTCTAAAGATTTAAATATTTAAAAATTTAAAAAAGGGTTTCAAGCTGTCGTTTCTTTCGTTTTAAAGAGGGTTTTTAACTTCAGTTTACCCCGAACGTTTTTCACTTTTCTTTTCCCACTCTCTTCATGTCTGTCGCAGCATTGTTCTCTCTCCAATTTCTTTCTCCATCATTACATTCATTTTGTTAAGTAAAATTACTTCTAATTATAAAATTTTCTTCATGAAAATCATTCTACTTAGTTAGATCTACAATAATGTGGTTAAATTTTTAAATATTAAAATCAACGAATGGACAAATCCAAACTGATAGAAATAATCTATTATAATAGATCCATAATATTATAGTTCTCACTCATCAAAACTAAATACTTACTCAAAATTCTATGCTAAAATTTTTTTTTTCAAGCAATATAAAATTATTATCATTAGATAGATCTAACTAAGTAGAATGATTTTCATGAAGAAAATTTTGTAATTAGAAATAGTTTTACTTATCAAAATAATCTGTAATGATGAAAAAAGAAATGAGAGAGAGAACGATGCTGCGGAGGACATGAAGAGAGAGAGAGAGGAAAAGAAAAATGACGAGGGGAAAAGAGAAATGAAGAGGGGTGGCAGTAAAAAGAAAACATTTTGGTGATAACATAAAATTACTACTACCTCCCCTTAATATAAAAACTAGATTGAAATATATTAATAAAATTAGTTCGGTCAGTAATTTATCACAAATGTAAGTTGACCTTAAACTACTACTTCCGATCCTAATTATAAGAACTAGTTGACTAATTTAAAAAGATTAATGAAATAAGTTAAGTTAGTTGTTTGTAATATATAGGTGTTGTCTTTCCTAAAATATCCTTGTCAATCAAGTATATTGGCTAAAACTACTATTATTAGAAAGACTTTCTTGTAAAAAAATACATAAATATAAGAGACAAAGTAAATTGGGATCTTATATTTAGAATCAAAATAAAAATCAAATGAGGTCTTATATTAAAGACCGGAGATAGTATTATTTTTAATAATGTGTATTGGAATACCTTTTGGTGATAACATATTATAATCAATAAGGATATTTTAAAAGAAAAAAGAGAGAGAATCAAAATAAATCGAGGTTTTATATTTCTAATTAAATAAAATCTCCAACTAGTTTTTATTAAGGATTAGAAATAGTATTTCAAAAAATTTGTTTCATTTTACTCCTTCCCTTCCCATTTCTAGACCAGAAATTTGGAGGGTGATTTGTTTCATTTATAAAACAAATTATAAAATTTGAGATAGATACATTTTTTTTTTCAATTTTCTCCTATTTAATATAAGAAATGGCTTGCTATAAATGTTGCATTCTCGATATAAATTAATTAAGTCGGTTCAATCGGCATATGAGAATAGAGTAATTTTGTCCTACAGATGAAAACAGAGGAAGATTATACTCATTTT